TTGCCAAACTTCTCTCCCTCAGTAAAAAATCTTGGAATAGTAATCGAAGGGACGGCCATCTTGATATACAAAAATTATTCTCATTTACTTGACAGAGTACGCGGCTGCTCTTCCCACGAAGTGAGCGTGGGGAAAATCAGACACGCTTGCCATTTGAAACCAAGCGAGTGTATAGCTATTTCAACGAAATTATGATTATATTTATCTATATCATCAATTATCATGTTTATTAGCATTGCTATTGCCATTACCATTTCTATTACCATTTTCATTATTAGAGGGTATAGTATCCCCATCGGTCGCGTATTGTTGATATCAATATGATTATTAAACATGACTTACAGTATTACAATCACCATTACTCATTACCATAATCAAAATGAGTGAAATATATTTCATACAGGGACTATATCTCGTCCTCGGTGTTCTAAAAATCCCAAATAAAGCAATAATAATTTCGTGTACAATGATTTCATAGTTTAAGGAACGGCATAGAAAAGATTGTGTTAATATATTGATGTGTAAAATGGAGAGCAAACTACACCGATTTTACTTGCATTAAAATAGGTTGATAAAAAATAATAATGGGCATAACATTGTCCTCTTTAGGAACATGATTAAAAAAGGGTATGAAATTATTGGGTATAGAAATGTAGAAGGAAGTAAAATCTTACAGAAACTTTTATTCAGAGGTATCTCATACACGTTCGTCAACTCTCGATCGAAACTGACTAGAGTCTTGATGTTATCTGCTGGCGAGAGCTCTACGCACAGATGATGCAGTTTCTAAAACTCTTTAGCGGTGTCTGGGGCGGCAGCGGCGGCGGCGGCGGCTTCGTTGTAGGCCTGGAAATGGCGAGCTTGGCGGCGACTACCTCAGCAGTGTCCTGGACGGGTTCGGGACGGGGCGGGGAGGGCGGCCAGAGGGGCGTCAGGAGCCACAGGAAGGTTGGTGCCGGACGCACGGAAGCCAAGGGCGTCAGCCACGTAGTGCTGAGTCTGAACCTGCCCTCAGAGTCCACGTAGTGTACGATCACGGACAACACCGAAGGCATCGCGAGACTCAGCGCGTGAAGAAGGACCGCGGCGTAACCGAAGGAGTACTGACCGATCTCATCCTGAGCGTGATACTGAGACTGGACAGGTGCTACAGGTGCGAAGGGAACTACGTTGTAGGAAACAGGTGCAGGTGCCACGTTGTAGGATACAGGTGCAGGAGCTACGTTGTAAGAGATAGGTGTAGGAGCCAAGGTCTTGATTACAGGTGTTTTGAGGGAGAGAGGAGCAGCTGCGGGAAGGCCACCTGCGTATGCGTAGGGCACCACACCAGAATACCCTGCGTAAGGATAGGCGCCAAGAAGGCCGTGATGGCCTCCATATACGCCGTTGTACGCAAGCAAGGAGGCGCTGCCGCTAGCCACGAGAGCCGCCACCGAAATCACAGTCTGAAATGCATCATTTTCATTACATGAAAATACACTGAATTAGAAACCGAGAAAATTTCATCTTTAAACCTGACTGAAATCACCAAAACGAGAAGAGACTCCGTTCAACCTCAGCGAAACCTGGGGTTCCTAAACTAACCAGAGAGTTCATGTTGGCCACCGTCAAGGAGCTGTCTGGTGGCCATGGGTATGACGCCGCCTTAAATACCTTGGGAACATCTTGACCACCTCAGAAAATGGGCAAGGGGCGTGGCTTTCCTTCCTTTCTACAGTCTAATCTTTTGTATCGTACAGCGCCTTGGCTCCTGGGTGAGGCTGTTTTCACATCCCCTTACAAAAATAGACAAATAAAGTAATATGAGAAGTTATTCTATATCATATATTGCCACACTCTATAGTCTTCTCAGATTCAAATCCTGAAAAAGTCATATCTCCACTTCTGACTGGTGCCAAAAAATGTACAAGCAATGGAAAGGTGAACAAAAATGAAAGCGATTCAGGGAATATCTGATTATAGCTATAGTATTATATCCTAAATTCTGAAAATTAACTTATTTGTCATCATTATTCAGAATATCTTTATTGTTATCATAATCATTACTATTTTTATCACTTTTGTTAATGTTATGATAATCGTCATCATCGCTATGATTATCATTATTCATGTTACTAGTGGTAATAGTAGAATCATTATTGAGTGATAGTAGCACTACAATTTCTACCATTACTATTGTTATAATCATAATTATCAGCATAACTTATTTCATTATTACTACTACTGTTAATACCATTATAATCATCACCACTATCATTTTATAATTATAATTGTACAATTGAAGTTACTGTTAAAATCATCACTTTTACCGTTATTAATATTGGTGTTGCTGGAGCTACTGTGGATGATAATTATTTTCATCATTATCAAGAGTAGCAATATTATTATTGATATTATCATTACTACAATTGTATGAATAATCATGTTATCAATGTTACCTTGTGATTATTATTATCATCATTATCATTATCATTATTAACATTCTTTTTATTGGGGCAATTATCATTATCACTTATTATAACTATCATTGCCATCAATGTTATTATCATTACCATCATTATCATTACTGTTATCATCATTATCCCTATTACTATTAAAAATAATATCACTGTTGCCATTGTTTATTGTTGTCAATATTATACCATTATTAGTGGTGTCATTATTCTTTATTGATCTTATTTTTATCCTTAGAATTATTATTATCTCTTATTTCTCTTACTATTATCATTACTTTTTATTTTCTATTATTATCTATAATATTATCATTAATATGATCATTGTTTTCATTTATAGTAGTAGTAGCATTATTTGTATTATCGTTGTCATTACTACTATCGTTATTACTATTATTACTGTTATTGATACTGAAGTTATCAACATTTTTACGATCATTTTATTATCCTTACCATTATCATGATTGTTAATCATGTTCTTTTTCATGTGTTCATCATTATTAATACCGCCGTTGATGTTATCATTAGCATTATTATCATCGTCCTTATCAGTAGTAGTATTCTTGTACTGTTATTTGCATATTGATAATAATCATTATTAAAGTCAATATCATGATAATAGTAATGGTAACAATAATAATGGTGATGCTTATGATGATAACGGTAATGTTTGTAATAACAACAATAATGATGAAGATAATGATAATAATGAAAATGGTAATATTAATAACAACGATGATAATGACAATGGTAATATAACAGTCAAAATCATTATTACCGTTTTTGTTCATTTTTATCGAAATAATTATCTTCATTATCAATATCCCAATCATTAGCATTAACATTATCGTTGTTATTATTTGTGTTTTCATTTTTATAAATATTGCCAGTGTGATTATTATTTATACTATCATTCCTGTCATTATCATCATCAGTGTCATTTTATTGTCATTGCTAAGATTATCACTATTATTAATGCAATCATTATCAGTGTTGTTTATTATGATAATGATTATCACCATGATTATCAGTATTGTATTATTATTATTTTCATTATATATTTCATTATCATTATCATTATCATTTATTATCATTATCATTATTATATTATTATTATAATTGGCAGCATTATCATTATCAATTATTTTCATAATTCGTAATCATTATCATACTATCAATATCATCACTGTCCTTTTTATCATTATTATTGATACCGTTATCACTATCATAATAAACATATTTAGACTCGCATCCATTTTCCTTATCATTAATGTCATCAGAGCTTGTTTATAGGCAAGAGAAATGCGCTAACTCTCGAGCGAAACTGACTAGTCTTGCGAGAGTTCGACACGCTACTGTATCGATTTTGTCGCTCAGGTAAGGCTTTGTCCCCAACAGGTGTCAATATCATAATTTTGCAAGGAAACGTTGTCTCTCAATCTTACTAAGGTTTCTTTTGTGACAAAGATAAAACTGGAAAGATAAATTTAAAGAATTATTTCAAAATGTATCCATGGATATATTTCGAATAATAATGGAGTAGGTAAATAAAAAAGGGCTATAATGGCTATTGGTGTGCAAGAGGAATCACTGTAGAATGGGGAGGGCGAGTCCTCTGTGACTGCCTGAATGCCTGTTTAAACACATAACTGGACTTATTTTGTATTTATTACCTAGTCTTATCATAAACATAGACTACACCACTGTGAAAATAATATATAATGAAAGTATCAAAATGTGCTTTATTGATAACCTATTCCTTATTCACTATTCATGTGTTATCTGGACATACTGTCAAGAAATATGATATCGAGTATGTAAGAGTGCATATAAATATGCTTTGTCTTCCTGTGTTGAATTTCCCCCGGCAGATGTCAGGAGTGTTAATGTGCTGCTTAACACTGACTGGGAAAAGAGAAAGAAAGGTATGGATAGAAAGGGGAACTGGAGATCATAGTTATTGATAACTGTTCTACTTAGGTATGTGACTCCATAAAAGTTTTCATTGTTTTTGTATTCTGTGATTTTATATTTTTCTGTTCTATTACATATGGTGCACACACACACACAAACATATATTCATATATAGATAAATATGTATATATATATATATATATATATATATATATATATATACATACATATACATATATGTATATATGTAAATGTATATATATATGTATATATATATATATATATATATATATATATATATATTCGTGTATATGTACAAACTCTTTTTTTATGTGTGTGTGTGTATGTTGGTTCGTGGATTTATACATTTACATGCATTTGTATGCAATATGTATATATATATATATATATATATATATATATATATATATATATATATGTGTGTGTGTGTGTGTGTGTGTGTGTGTGTGTGTGTGTGTGTGTGTGTGTGTGTGTGTGTGTGTGTGTGTGTGTGTGTGTGTGCGTGTGTGAACGCAGATAGATAGGGCAACTAAATATGTTTTCATTATTATTATTATTATTATTGCCGTACACGTTACTAGCTGACTGAGGTTTAGGTTCATGACAGTATGCTGACAGTGAAATCATTTTATTTAATAGATCATACATAATTCGCTCTTTGTACAAATAGTGAGGTGTCAAACCTCATCAAATGCGTTCGTCACACCTCACGTGACTGGATTCCAACTCAGTTGAGCACGCGGTAGGAGGTGGCGTGGGCGGGGTTGTGGACCACGCGGAGGAGTTCGGCGTCACGGAGGGCGGGTCTGGCGGCGGCGGCGTAGGTGGTGGGGACGTGGACGGCGTTGTAGGTGGTGAGGGCGGGATGGGCGGCAGTGTAGTGAAGAGGAGAAGCATAGGTAGTTGGGTGGGCGTAGTGGAGGGGAGTGGAGAATCCGTAGGAGAAACGGAGAGGAGAGTAGACGCCGAGACCGGGAGCCGCAAGGATGGAACGCTTCTTGCGGGTGTCTGGGGCGGCAGCGGCGGCGGCGGCGGCTTCGTTGTAGGCCTGGAAATGGGCGAGCTTGGCGGCGACTACCTCAGCAGTGTCCTGGACGGGTACGGGGACGGGGCCGGGGAGGGCGGCCAGAGGGGCGTCGGGAGCCACGGGAAGGTTGGTGCCGGACGCACGAAAGCCAAGGGCGTCAGCCACGTAGTGCTGAGTCTGAATCTTGCCCTCAGAGTCCACGTAGTTGTACGAACCACGGACAACACCGAAGGCATCGCGAGACTCAGCGCGTGAAGATGCACCGCCGGCGTAACCGAAGGAGTACTGACCGATCTCATCCTGAGCGTGATACTGAGACTGAACAGGTGCTACAGGTGCCACAGGAGCTACGTTGTAGGAAACAGGTGCAGGAGCTACGTTGTAGGAGACAGGTGCAGGAGCCACGTTGTAAGGGATAGGTGTAGGAGCCAAGGTCTTGATTATAGGTGTTTTGATGGTGAGGGGAGCAGCTGCGGGAAGGCCACCTGCGTATGCGTAGGGCACCACACCAGAATACCCTGCGTAAGGATAGGCGCCAAGAAGGCCGTGATGGCCTCCATATACGCCGTTGTACGCAAGCAAGGAGGCGCTGCCGCTAGCCACGAGGGCCGCCACCGAAATCACAGTCTGAAATGGAACATTTCCATTACAGCACGTTATCGTGTAATGAAAATCCAGAAACAAAGATTTCATTCAGCCAAATATGAGTCCCCATATTCTACCTGGACTACCTTGAACTCACCAGAGCATTCATGTTGACCCACCACCAAGGAGCTGTCTGATGCCCATGGGTAAGGCTGCGGCTTAAATACCCGGGGAACATGACCATTTCGGAAGGGGCGTGGCTATCCTTCCTTTCTATTTTCGACCTTTCGTTGCGATAAATAAAATGTTCTAAATCCGGGATAGAACTTTGAGATTTACTTTTATATGCATCGCTTATAGGACCATCCATTGTTTAACTTGAGGTGCCCTTAAGTAGAGGTATCAAATGGATGTTTTGGGAGCCGCAGATGGTGGAGGGAAAGTGACCCTCGAGGATTGCAGGAAAACGAAAAATAAACAAAAAATCAAGTCATTCAAGATTTAGGAAATGTTTACTGATAATTTGAATAGAAATACTATTGAAAAAAAAAACGTTGGTGAATAATTCGTTATCTGATCAATTGTATGACCCAAAATATTTCTTGAGAATTTGAATCTGAGAAATACCTCTGACAAATACAAGGATGAACATTTTGTTTCATAATCATGTAAACAGGTTTCAGGACTTTATCATAATTTGAAGGACAAAACTTGAATAGATACTTTGGTAAACAAATGCCGCGTAATATTTATCTAAACATTAGGAATTTAAACCTGAAAGAAGGCAATGGCAAGGATTAAAAGGTATAACAAGTTTCCCAGGTTTGAATAGACTGCAGGTTAGCTGCATTATATGCTGGTATTATTTTACTGTCGAGGCAGTCTGTTTCCTTTTTCTTTCTTATTTTATTTATTTCTATCTATGACTAATATCAATAGAGTATGGCACATGTCCTGGATAAGTGCATATACTTTTTTACTCATATAAGATGCAGGTAATGAAGGGTGAACAGAAAAGTATGATGAACTTGCTTGTCTAAGTATACCTTCATCTGAGTGTAAATAATATGAGAAAATAAGCTCATTCTAAAAGCGATTTTCAATGAATGTGGATTGGAGGCGACTCAAATTGCATTATTAATCAAATCTTAAAACATAGACCAAATCATGTCTTTTAAAGTAACAAAAATCTCCCTTCATGTACTACTACTCTGTGTAGTGCAGTGGTATCTTTCTCGTCCAGCAATCTTGACCTGCGTTCTAATCCCGCGCCGCCAGTTGATGGTAACCCCGGCCATTCCTTGCACACAAGGGGTAATTTAGAAGTAATAATAAATAGACACCCTGTTCCAAAAATATTCATTGTGACTAATGAAATTAAAAATCATAAATCACCTCCGTTGTTTCTGTTAAAGGTAGATTGAATTGAACTGACATGGCACAGGAAAGACTCGAGTTTGACACTGCTGAACTTGGGTAATGATGCTTTTTTTCATTAAGATTTCTTGGAACTGTAACCGAAAAGAGTAAATGAAGAGAAGGTCGTTTACAGATTATATACCCGTAATCAGCATTGCCAAACTTCTCTCCTTCACTAAATAAATTTGGGATAGAAATCGAAGTGACGGCCATCTTGCTATACAAAAATTATTCTCATTTACTTGACAGAGTACGCGGCTGCTCTTCCCACGAAGTGAGCGTGGGGAAAATCAGACACGCTTGCCATTTGAAACCAAGCGAGTGTATAGCTATTTCAACAAAATTATGATTATTATACTTATCTATATCATCATATTATTCATGTTTATTAACATTAGCGTATATTGTTGATATCAATATGATTATTAAATATGGCTACAGTATTAAAATCATTAGCATCAAAAATGCGTGAATATATTTTCATACAGGGACCATATCTCGTCCTCGTGTTCTAAAAATCCCAATAAAGCAATAAATTCGTGTACAATGGTCTCATAGTTTAAGGAACGGTATAGAAAAGATTGTGTTAATATATTGATGTGTAAAATGAAGAGCAAACTACACCGATTTTACTTGCATTAAAATAGGTTGATATAAATGGGAACATGATTAAAAAAGGGTATAAATTATTGGGTACAGAAATGTAAAGAAAGTAATTGAGACAAAATCTTTCTTACAGAAACTTTTATTCAGAGGTATCTCATACACGTCCGTCAACTCTCGATCGTAACTGACTAGAGTCTTGATGCTGTTATCTGCTGGCGAGAGCTCTACGCACAGATATGATGCAGTTTCTAAAACACTCTTTAGCGGGTGTCTGGGCGGCAGCGGCGGCGGCGGCGGCTTCGTTGTAGGCCTGGAAATGGGCGAGCTTGGCGGCGACTACCTCAGCAGTGTCCTGGACGGGTTCGGGGACGGGGCCGGGGAGGGCGGCCAGAGGGGCGTCGGGAACCATGGGAAGGTTGGTGCCGGACGCACGGAAGCCAAGGGCGTCAGCCACGTAGTGCTGAGTCTGAACCTTGCCCTCAGAGTCCACGTAGTTGTACGAACCACGGACAACACCGAAGGCATCGCGAGACTCAGCGCGTGAAGAAGGACCGCCGGCGTAACCGAAGGAGTACTGACCGATCTCATCCTGAGCGTGATACTGAGACTGGACAGGTGCTACAGGTGCGAAGGAGCTACGTTGTAGGAAGCAGGTGCAGGAGCCAAGTTATAGATACACAGCACACAGGTGCTACGTTGTAGGAGACAGGTGCAGGAGCTACGTTGTAAGAGATAGGTGTAGGAGCCAAGGTCTTGATTACAGGTGTTTTGAGGGAGAGAGGAGCAGCTGCGGGAAGGCCACCTGCGTATGCGTAGGGCACCAAACCAGAATACCCTGCGTAAGGATAGGCGCCAAGAAGGCCGTGATGGCCTCCATATACGCCGTTGTACGCAAGCAAGGAGGCGCTGCCGCTAGCCACGAGGCCGCCACCGAAATCACAGTCTGAAATGCATCATTTTCATTACATGAAAATACACTGAATTAGAAACCGAGAAAATTTCATCTTTAAACCTGACTGAAATCACCAAAACGAGAAGAGACTCCGTTCAACCTCAGCGAAAACTGGGGTTCCTAAACTCACCAGAGAGTTCATGTTGGCCACCGTCAAGGAGCTGTCTGGTGGCCATGGGTATGACGCCGTCTTAAATACCTTGGGAACATCTTGACCACCTCAGAAAATGGGCAAGGGGGCGTGGCTTTCCTTCCTTTCTACAGTCTAATCTTTTGTATCGTACAGCGCCTTGGCTCCTGGGTGAGGCTGTTTTCACATCCCCTTACAAAAATAGACAAATAAAGTAATATGAGAAGTTATTTTATATCATATATTGCCACACTCTTATAGTCTTCTTTGATCCAAATCCTGAAAAAGTCATATCTCCACTTCTGACTGGTGCCAAAGAAAATGCACAAGCAATGGAAAGGTTAACAAAAATGAAAGCGATTCAGGGAATATCTGATTTTAGCTACAGTATTATATCCTAAATTCAGAAAATTGACTTACAATTATTTGTCATCATTATTCAGAATATCTTTATTATTGTTATCATTATCATCATTACTATTTTTATCACTATTGTTAATATCATGATAATCGTCATCATTATTAGTGGTGTCGTTATTCTTTATTGATTTTATTTTTATCCTTTGAATCCTCCCCCTCGTTATATATTTTTTTTCCTATTGTCATTTTTTATTTTCTATTATCTATATCATTATCATTAACATAATCATTGTTTTCATTTATAGCTGTAGTAACATTATTAGTATTGTTATTGCCATTACTACTATCGTTATTACTATTACTATTGTTATTGATACTGAAGTTATCAACATTTTTACGATCATTCTATTATTATCATCATTATCATGATTGTTAATCACATTCTTTTTCATGTGATCACCATTATTAATACCGCCGTTGATGTTATTAGCATTATTATCATCGTTATTATCAGTAGTAGTATTCTTGTACTGTTATTTGCATATTGATAATAATCATTATTACTGTCAATATCATGATAATAGTAATGGTAACAATAACAATGATGATGGTTATGATGATAACGGTAATGTTAGCAATAACAATAAGAATTAAGATAATCATGATAATGATAATGGTAATATCAATAGCAATGAGGATGATATAACAATCAAAGTCTTTATTATAACTAGAATCATTATTATCGTTTTTGTTATTTTTACGTTCTCATTATTATCGAAATTATTATCATTATCAATATCATTAGCATTAATTAACATTATCGTTGTTATTATTGGTGTTTTCATTCTTATAATTATTGTCAGTGTGATTCTTTTTATTATCATTACTATCATTTTCATCATCATCAGTGTCATTTTATTGTCGTTGCTAAGATTATCACTATTATTAATGCAATCATTATCAGTGTTGTTTATTATGATAATGATTATCACCATGATTATCAGTATTGTTATCATTCTCATTATTTTCATTATGATTATCATTATCATCATTATCATTATCATTATTATCACTCTCATTATCATTATTATTATCATAATTATCAATTGGCAGCATTATCATTATCAATTATTTTCATGATTCGTAATCATTACCACTACCGTTACTATCAATATCATCACTGTCCTTTTTATCATTATTATTGATACTGTTATCACTATCATAATAAACATATTTAGACCCACATCCATTTTCTTTACCATTAATGTCATCATAGCTTGTTTATAGGCAAGAGAAATGCGCTAACTCTCGAGCGAAACTGACTAGTCTTGCGAGAGTTCGACACGCTACTGTATCGATTTTGTCGCTCAGGTAAGGCTTTGTCCCCAACAGGTGTCAATATCATAATTTTGCAAGGAAACGTTGTCTCTCAATCTTACTAAGGTTTCTTTTGTGACAAAGAAAAAACTGGAAAGATAAATTTAAAGAATTATTTCAAAATATATCCATGGATATATTTCGAATAATAATGGAGTAGGTAAATAAAAAAGGCTATTGGTGTGCAAGAGGAATCCACTGTAGAATGGGGGAGGCGAGTCCTCTGTGACTGCCTGAGTGCCTGTTTAAACAACATAACTGGACTTATTTTGCACTTATTACCTAGTCTTATCATAAACATAGACTAAACCACTGTGAAAATATTATATAATGAAAGTATCAAAATGTGCTTTATTGATAACCTATTCCTTATTCACTATTCATGTGTTATCTGGACATACTGTCAAGTAATATGATATCGAGTATGTAAGAATACATATAGATATGCTTTGTTTTCCTGTGTTGAATTTCTCCCGGCAGATGTCAGGAGTGTTAATGGCGCCGCATAAGACTGGATGGGAAAAGAGAAAGAAAGGTATGGATAGAAAGGGGAATTGGAGGTCAAAGTTATTGATAACTGTTCTACTTAAGTATGTGACTCCATAAAAGTTTTCATTATTTTTGTAATTCTATTTTATAATTTTCTGTTCTGTTGCATATGATTGACACATACAAGTATATTCATATATAGATAAATATGTGTATAAGTGTACATACATATATATATATATGTATATATATATATATATATATATATATATATATATATATTCGGGTATATGTACAAACTGGTTTTTCGTTTGTTGATGTTGGTTCGTGGATTTATGCATTTACATGCATTTGTATGCAATATGTATATATATATATATATATATATATATATATATATATATATATATATATATATACATGTGTGAACGCATATATATAGGGCAACTAAATATTTTTCATTATTATCATTATTATTATTATTGCTCTGCCGTACACGTTACTAGCTGACTGCGGTTTAGGTTCATGACAGTATGCTGACAGTGAAATCATTTTATTTAATAGATCAAACATAATTCGCTTTTGTACAAATAGTGAGATGTCAAACCTCATCAAATGCGTTCGTCACACCTCACGTGACTGGATTCCAACTCAGTTGAGCACGCGGTAGGAGGTGGCGTGGGCGGGGTTGTGGACCACGCGGAGGAGTTCGGCGTCACGGAGGGCGGGTCTGGCGGCGGCGGCGTAGGTGGTGGGACGTGGACGGCGTTGTAGGTGGTGAGGGCGGGATGGGCGGCAGTGTAGTGAAGAGGAGAAGCATAGGTAGTTGGGTGGGCGTAGTGGAGGGAGTGGAGAATCCGTAGGAGAAACGGAGAGGAGAGTAGACGCCGAGACCGGGAGCCGCAAGGACGGAACGCTTCTTGCGGGTGTCTGGGGCGGCAGCGGCGGCGGCGGCGGCTTCGTTGTAGGCCTGGAAATGGGCGAGCTTGGCGGCGACTACCTCAGCAGTGTCCTGGACGGGTTCGGGGACGGGGCCGGGGAGGGCGGCCAGAGGGGCGTCGGGAGCCACGGGAAGGTTGGTGCCGGACGCACGGAAGCCAAGGGCGTCAGCCACGTAGTGCTGAGTCTGAACCTTGCCCTCAGAGTCCACGTAGTTGTACGAACCACGGACAACACCGAAGGCATCGCGAGACTCAGCGCGTGAAGATGCACCGCCGGCGTAACCGAAGGAGTACTGACCGATCTCATCCTGAGCGTGATACTGAGACTGAACAGGTGCCACAGGAGCTACACAGGAGCTACGTGTAGGATACAGTACAGGAGCTACGTTGTAGGAGACAGGTGCAGGAGCCACGTTGTAAGAGATAGGTGTAGGAGCCAAGGTCTTGATTATAGGTGTTTTGATGGTGAGAGAAGCAGCTGCGGGAAGGCCACCTGCGTATGAGTAGGGCACCACACCAGAATACCCTGCGTAAGGATAGGCGCCAAGAAGGCCGTGATGGCCTCCATATACGCCGTTGTACGCAAGCAAGGAGGCGCTGCCGCTAGCCACGAGAGCCGCCACCGAAATCACAGTCTGAAATGGAACATTTCCATTACAGCACGTTATCGTGTAATGAAAATCCAGAAACAAAGATTTCATTCAGTTACCTTAATATATAAACAAAATATGAGTCCCCATATTCTACCTGGACTACCTTGAACTCACCAGAGCATTCATGTTGACCCACCACCAAGGAGCTGTCTGATGCCCATGGGTAAGGCTGCGGCTTAAATACCTGGGGAACATGACCATTTCGGAAGGGGCGTGGCTATCCTTCCTTTCTATTTTCGACCTTTCGTTGCGATAAATAAAATGTTCTAAATCCGGGATAGAACTTTGAGATTTACTGTTATATGCATCGCTTATAGGACCATCTCCTATTGTTTAACTTGAGGTGCCCTTAAGTAGAGGTTTCAAAGGGATGTTTTGGGAGGCGCAGGTGGTGGAGGGAAAGTGACCCTCGAGGATTGCAGGAAAACGAAAAATAAACAAAAAATCAAGTCATTCAAGATTTAGGAAATGTTTACTGATAATTTGAATGGAAATACTATTGGAAAAAAAACGTTGGTGAATAATTCGTTATCTGATCAATTGTATGACCCAAAATATTTCTTGAGAATTTGAATTTGAGAAATATCTCTGACAAATACAAGGATGAACATTTTGTTTCATAATCATGTAAACAGGTTTTAGGATTTTTATAATTGAAGGCAAAAACCACTTGAATAAATACTTTGGTAAACAAATGCCGCGTAATATTTATCTAAATATTAGGAATTCAAATCAGAAAGAAGGCAATGGCAAGGATTAGAAGGCAATGGGCTGAAACAAGTTAATGGGTTGAATAGACTGCAGGTTAGCTGCATTATATGCTGGTATTATTTTACTGTCGAGGCAGTCTGTTTCCTTTTTCTTTCTTACTTTATTTATTTCTATTCTATGACTAATATCAATAGAGTTAGGCACATGTCCTGGATAAGTGCATATACTTTTTTACTCATATAAGATGCAGGTAATGAAGGGTGAACAGAAAAGTATGATGAACTTGCTTGTTGTCTAACCTTCATCTGAGTGTAAATAATATGAGAAAATAAGCTCATTCTAAAAGCGATTTTCAATGAATGTGGATTGGAGGCGACTCAAATTGCATTATTAATCAAATCTTAAAACATAGACCAAATCATGTCTTTTAGAGTAACAAAAATCTCCCTTCATGTACTACTACTCTGTGTAGTGCAGTGGTATCTTTCTCGTCCAGCAATCTTGACCTGCGTTCTAATCCCGCGCCGCCAGTTGATGGTAACCCCGGCCATTCCTTGCACACAAGGGGTAATTTAGAAGTAATAATAAATAGACACCCTGTTCCAAAAATATTCATTGTGACTAATGAAATTAAACAAAATCATAAATCACCTCCGTTGTTTCTGTTACAGGTAGATTGAATTGAACTGACATGGCACAGGAAAGACTCGAGTTTGACACTGCTGAACTTGGGTAATGATGCTTTTTTCATTAAGATTTCTTGGAACTGTAACTGAAAAGAGTAAATGAAGAGAAGGTCGTTTACAGATTATATACCCGTAATCAGCATTGCCAAACTTCTCTCCTTCAGTAAATAATCTTGGAATAGAAATCGAAGGGACGGCCATCTTGATATACAAAAATTATTCTCATTTACTTGACAGAGTACGCGGCTGCTCTTCCCACGAAGTGAGCGTGGGGAAAATCAGACACGCTTGCCATTTGAACCAAGCGAGTGTATACTATTTTCAACAAAATTATGATTATATTTATCTATATCATCAATTATCATGTTTATTAACATTGCTATTGCCATTACCATTTCTATTACCATTTTCATTATTAGAGGTATAGTAATCATCCCCATCAGTAGCGTATTGTTGATATCAATATGATTATTAAATATGACTGACAGTATTAAAATCATTAGCATCAAAATGCGTGAAATATATTTCATACAGGGACATATCTCGTCCTCGGTGTTCTAAAAATCCCAATAAAGCAATAATTCGTGTACAATGGTCTCATAGTTTAAGGAACGGTATAGAAAAGATTGTGTTAATATATTGATGTGTAAATGGAGAGCAAACTACACCGATTTTACTTGCATTAAAATAGGTTGAACATGGGCATAACATTGGGAACATGATTAAAAAGGGTATAAAATTATTGGTATAGAAATGTAGAAGAAAGTAATGAGACAAAATCTTCTTACAAAACTTTTATTCAGAGGTATCTCATACACGTCCGTCAACTCTCGATCGAAACTGACTAGAGTCTTGATGCTGTTATCTGCTGGCGAGAGCTCTACGCACAGATATGATGCAGTTTCTAAAACACTCTTTAGCGGGTGTCTGGGGCGGCAGCGGCGGCGGCGGCGGCTTCGTTGTAGGCCTGGAAATGGGCGAGCTTGGCGGCGACTACCTCAGCAGTGTCCTGGACGGGTTCGGGGACGGGGCCGGGAGGGCGGCCAGAGGGGCGTCGGGAGCCAGGAAGGTTGGTGCCGGACGCACGGAAGCCAAGGGCGTCAGCCACGTAGTGCTGAGTCTGAACCTTGCCCTCAGAGTCCACGTAGTTGTACGAACCACGGACAACACCGAAGGCATCGCGAGACTCAGCGCGTGAAGAAGGACCGCCGGCGTAACCGAAGGAGTACTGACCGATCTCATCCTGAGCGTGATACTGAGACTGGACAGGTGCTACAGGTGCGAAGGGACTACGTTGTAGGAACAGGTGCAGGAGCTACGTTTTGATACAGGGCTACGGTAGACAGGTGCTACGTTGTAGGAGACAGGTGCAGGAGCACGTTGTAAGAGATAGGTGTAGGAGCCAAGGTCTTGATTACAGGTGTTTTGAGGGAGAGAGGAGCAGCTGCGGGAAGGCCACCTGCGTATGCGTAGGGCACCAAACCAGAATACCCTGCGTAAGGATAGCGCCAAGAAGGCCGTGATGGCCTCCATATACGCCGTTGTACGCCACGTTGTACGCTTCTTGCGGGTGTCTGGGGCGGCAGCGGCGGCGGCGGCGGCTTCGTTGTAGGCCTGGAAATGGGCGAGCTTGGCGGCGACTACCTCAGCAGTGTCCTGGACGGGTTCAGGACGGGGCCGGGGAGGGCGGCCAGAGGGGCGTCGGGAGCCACGGGAAGGTTGGTGCCGGACGCACGGAAGCCAAGGGCGTCAGCCACGTAGTGCTGAGTCTGAACCTTTCCCTCAGAGCCCCGTAGTTGTACGAACCACGGACAACACCGAAGGCATCGCGAGACTCAGCGCGTGAAGATGCACCGCCGGCGTAACCGAAGGAGTACTGACCGATCTCATCCTGAGCGTGATACTGAGACTGAACAGGGTCCACAGGAGCTACGTTGTAGGAAACAGATGAAGGAGCTACGTTGTAGGATACAGCTACAGGAGCTACGTTGTAGAGACAGGTGCAGGAGCCACGTTGTAAGAGATAGGTGTAGGAGCCAAGGTCTTGATTACAGGTGTTTTGATGGTGAGAGAAGCAGCTGCGGGAAGGCCACCTGCGTATGCGTAGGGCACCACACCAGAATACCCTGCGTAAGGATAGGCGCCAAGAAGGCCGTGATGGCCTCCATATACGCCGTTGTACGCAAGCAAGGAGGCGCTACCGCTAGCCACGAGGGTCGCCACCGAAATCACAGTCTGAAATGGAACATTTCCATTACAGCACGTTATCGTGTAATGAAAATCCAGAAACAAAGATTTCATTCAACAACCTTAATATACAAACAAAATATGAGTCCCCATATTCTACCTGGACTACCTTGAACCCACCAGAGCATTCATGTTGACCCACCACCAAGGAGCTGTCTGATGCCCATGGGTATGGCTGCGGTTTAAATACCCGGGGAACATGACCATTTCGGAAGGGGCGTGCTATCCTTCCTTTCTATTTTCGACCTTTCGTTGCGATAAATAAAATGTTCTAAATCCGGGATAGAATTTTGAGATTTACTGTTATATGCATCGCTTATAGGACCATCTCCTATTGTTTAACTTGAGGTGCCCTTAAGTAGAGGTTTCAAAGGGATGTTTTGGGTGGCGCAGGTGGTGGAGGGAAAGTGACCCTCGAGGATTGCAGGAAAACGAGAAATAAACACAAAATCAAGTCATACAAGATTTAGGAAATGTTTACTGATAATTTGAATAGAAATACTATTGAAAAAAAAATGTTGGTGAATAATTGGTTATCTGATCAACTGCATGACCCAAAATATTTCTTGAGAATTTGTATTTGAGAAAATATCTCTGACAAATACAAGGATGAGCATTTTGTTTCATAGTCATGTAAACAGGTTTTACGGCATTTTTATAATCTGAATGGCAAAAACACTTGAATAAATACTTTGGTAAACAAATGCCGCATAATATTTATCTAAATATTAGGAATTCAAATCAGAAAGAAGGCAATGGCAAGGATTAGAAGGTATAATAAATTTCATATGTTTGAATGGGCTGAAGGTTAGCTGCATTATATGCTGAGTATCCTACTACATGGACAATCTGTTTGTTTTTGTCTTTCTATTTTATGACTAATGTCAATGGAGATCGGTACTTCTACTATGTAAGTGCATACTCATTTACTCATATAAGATGCAGGCAATGAAGGATGAATAGAAAACTATAACGAACTTGTTTGTCTAAGTATACCTTCATCTAAGTGTAAATAATATGAGAAAATAAGCTTCTCATTCTAGAAGCGATTTTCAATTAATGTGGATTGGATGCGACTCAAATTGTATTATTAATCGAATCTTAAAACATAGACCAAATCATGTCTTTTAAAGTAACAAAAATCTCCCTTCATGTACTACTACTCTGTGTAGTGCAGTGGTATTTTTCTCGTCCAGCAATCTTGACCTGCGTTCTAATCCCGCTCCGCCAGTTGATGGTAACCCCGGCCTTTCCTTGCACACAAGGGGTAATTTAGAAGTAATAATAAATAGACACCCTGATCCAAAAAATATTCATTGTGACTAATGAAATTAAACTAAATCATAAATCACCTCCGTTGTTTCTGTTACACGTAGATTGAATTGAACTAACATGACACAGGAAAGACTCGAGTTTGACACTGCTGAACTTGGGTAATGATGCTTTGTTTCATTAAGATTTCTTGGAACTGTAAATGAAAAGAAGGTCGTTTACAGATTATATACCCGTAATCAGCATTGCCAAACTTCTCTCCCTCAGTAAAAAAATCTTGGAATAGTAATCGAAGGGACGGCCATCTTGATATACAAAAATTATTCTCATTTACTTGACAGAGTACGCGGCTGCTCTTCCCACGAAGTGAGCGTGGGAAAATCAGACACGAGCATGCCATTTGAAACCAAGCGAGTGTATAGCTATTTCAACGAAATTATGATTATATTTATCTATATCATCAATTATCATGTTTATTAGCATTGCTATTGCCATTACCATTTCTATTACCATTTTCATTATTAGAGGTATAGTAATCATCCCATCGGTCGCGTATTGTTGATATCAATATGATTATTAAACATGACTTACAGTATTACAATCACCATTACTCATTACCATAATCAAAATGAGTGAATATATTTCATACAGGGACTATATCTCGTCCTCGGTGTTCTAAAATCCCAAATAAAGCAATAATAATTTCGTGTACAATGATTTCATAGTTTAAGGAACGGCATAGAAAAGATTGTGTTAATATATTGATGTGTAAAATGGAGAGCAAACTACACCCGATTTTACTTGCATTAAAATAGGTTGATAAAAAATAATAATGGGCATAACATTGTCCTCTTAGGAACATGATTAAAAAAGGGTATGAAATTATTGGGTATAGAAATGTAGAAGGAAGTAAAATCTTACAGAAACTTTTATTCAGAGGTATCTCATACACGTTCGTCAACTCTCGATCGAAACTGACTAGAGTCTTGATGTTATCTGCTGGCGAGAGCTCTACGCACAGATATGATGCAGTTTCTAAAACACTCTTTAGCGGGTGTCTGGGCGGCAGCGGCGGCGGCGGCGGCTTCGTTGTAGGCCTGGAAATGGGCGAGCTTGGCGGCGACTACCTCAGCAGTGTCCTGGACGGGTTCGGGGGACGGGGCCGGGGAGGGCGGCCAGAGGGGCGTCAGGAGCCACAGGAAGGTTGGTGCCGGACGCACGGAAGCCAAGGGCGTCAGCCACGTAGTGCTGAGTCTGAACCTTGCCCTCAGAGTCCACGTAGTTGTACGATCCACGGACAACACCGAAGGCATCGCGAGACTCAGCGCGTGAAGAAGGACCGCCGGCGTAAACCGAAGGA